CGCGCCCCCCCCCCCCCCGCCATAGCTGGCGCCGGTAGCGTCCAGCGCCCTCCGCCAGCTCCCGGCTCAGGGCCTCCAGGTCCTCGGCGCTGGTGTTGCGGCCCCGCGGGTCCTCTGGTGACATCCAGAAGGGGTCGAAGGACGGGCCCAGGAGCTTGCGGAGCCGCCCGGTCCGCAGGTGCCTGGGCTTGGGGGAGTAGTGGTAGTCGTCGGGGGAGAGGGACAGGCTGTAGGGCCGCACCGGGGCTGAGGGCCGGGCCCGCAGCAGGCGTGCGGCAGGGTCGGCGGTAGCGGGTGGCAGTGGCGTGTCCTGGATGAGGGGCGGCAGGTCCTGTGGCGCGAGGAGGCAGTCGGCGGGGCCCAGTGCTTCTGGCAGCAGCAGCAGCAGGCGGGTGAGGAGGAGGACGAGGCAGCCGCGGGTGTCCATGGCGAGCGCCGCTCCCACGGGCTGCCCTTGGTGCTGTGGCGGCTGCCCCGTCCTCTCCCGCTGGTTATCACCGCATCCCTCCGGCGGGAGGGAGCCGTCCCCTCTACCCTAGTTACAGTGCCTGATACCACGGCTGCCCGTGGAGACACAACCAGCCATGGAGGCACCTCGGGGACGAGGAGGAAGGAGAGGGGGAGGAGGTTGTGCTGCCCAGAGCAGGGTCATGGGCACTGCAGGGTCGAGGGGTGCCATTCCAGGTGATATTGGGGAAAACCCACCAGGGCTTTGCACCACCTCCCTTGCAGGTGTGCAAGGCTTGGGGGAGGAGAGGTGCCATGTTAGAGGGTACTGGCGATATGGGGCTGGGAGGTCTCCCACCAGGGTGATGCACGAGCCGGCAGCACCTGTGGTGGAAACGCTGCGCAGTCCAGGACCCTGGGAGCGAATTCAGACGGCAGAGCACCTCTGTGCAAACCTGCATCAGAGAAGGTACCTTCGCCAGCCCTGCCCCAGGGAGAAGGGGCCAATGTGGAGAGGCAGAGACCGGTGCAGCCTCCTCCCTTGCATCCAGCCTGTTCATTTTGCCTTACAGAGAGGGCTGTCAAGGCATTGTGATTTGAAGAGACAGACAGATCCTTCCCTGCAAACCCCAGAGGGGATTGAAGAGGCAGCAGATGTTCCCCACTCACCCACAGTGGCCCGACAAGGCCACTTGCCATCAAACAGGCCTGTTCCCATGGAGATATGGGATCCGCTGAGATGAATGCACCCCTGTTCTCTGATCCTAGCCATGCTTGCAGGTTCTTTCCCCTTCCTCTGTGGAAGGATGAACTGCAGTGGGCCTCATGCGGCAATGAAGGCCTTCCTGGGAGGGGAGGTATTGTCAGAGGTTGGGGTCATCCCCAAGATCATGGTCTTTTGGCCTCACATCTCCTCAGACTCACTCTGCATCTCTGGTGGCTTTTGAGTCTTCCCAGGAAAAGACCACGAAACCACTCCTGGATTACATCTCCTCTCTTCAAAACCCGTGTGTCCTCCGCCCACCCCTCAAGTGAGCTACACTTGGTGCTGGCCTGTATAATTGGGGGCCTGCAGCGCACATATCCCTTCGTGAACATGAATGCAGCTGGAAAGCGGGAAAGAAGAGAAAGGAGAGCTGCAAGGGTCAGGTTTGTCCCTCCTCGTGTCCACAGGAGCCTGTTCCATACCAGCCATCCCGACAGAGTACACCCTCTCAAAAAAACCCTCTCTGGACAACTCCCCCCCCTACACACATCACATCATCCTGGCATAGGAAATTGTTGGGGACAAGTCAGACCTGGGCTAGGCAGAAATCAGCACCTGCTTTCCACTTCTTCTTGAGGATCTGCTGTTACAGGGCAGAGTGAGGAAGAGTCTGGTCTGTGATAAGGCACTTATTTCCATTCAGCTAATAAACTAATAGTTATGAATAAATGATGATAATAATTATTTTCTCATTCTCCAGAGGGTTCACATCCATATCCCAAGCATGGGGCAGGAGGGAGCCAGGATTGTTGTGATGGTATGTGCCTATTTTCTTGAGGTATTCAGAAACACTTCCCGAAGAGCCAGAGGAGATAGGGTCCCTGCACGGCTTGACTGTGGGAATCTCTGTCCATCTCCATCCTTCTTTTCCCACTGAAGAACAGTACATTAGTTCTTCTCAGCCCCTCATGGAAAGAGGGGAGCAGCTGAACCCACAGGAAAGCTGGGCACAGAAGGGTTAACTCCAAATCCAATCTCATGGAGAGAGGAGGGGAAAAAAAAAGAGATCAATGGATCAGCTGTAGGAGCAGGCGGAGGGAAAAGGGGGAGGCAAAGAGAGAGTGAGAGGAGCTGAAGAAAGAGAGAGCAGAGTGTGAGAGCCAGAGAGAGTGGAGCTGGCGGCTAAGCGACCGGGAAATCAGAGCTGGGTGGCAGGACCCAGGCAGGAGGGACGGTGCTGCCCAGGTTGTTTCTCCGTGGCCTGCATCGTGGAGGGCAGTGGGGCTACCCCTCCTTGCTGGAGCGGCCAGGGCTGAAGGTCTCTCCTGAAAGAGTTGCAAAGCGGCAGGTCCTTCCTCCCAAAGGTGAGTGCCGGCTTCCCAAGCGGAGGGGCAGCCCTGGGCTCCGCTAGCAGGAAGGAAGCTGATGACAAGATGCGCTGTAGCTAGTGTGTGAGGTGTGAGAGTGTACTGGCCTCTGCCCGAGCGGGAAGAACCCCGGGGCCAGCATGGAGGAGAGAGAGAGGGGACTGCAGAGCCAGCCAGCCAGGGATGACCTTTTGGTAGGATACAGAAAGACTGCGAGGAAGGAGAAGCAGTGTGAACTGAGAGATGGGGAAGCGTGGGGTGAAAGAACTTGCACTACGCAAAAAAGAGTTAATTGCATCTCAACAGTTGCTAGATAACTGTCTTATCTTCTCTGTTGCTGCCCAGCGAAGGGCAATTTGTTCTAATGATAGAACAATAAAGCAAAGACTTGTTAGGAGATAGAGTGCTTGCACTCCCTGTCTGAAAGCTGTGTTATTCACTACTGGAGGAAGTTTTGCAGCAGATCCCAATACCCCTCTCCTTTGGCTTTGGAATAATTTGCACTGCTTCGCAATGATTATCACTTGGTGCTTTTGGTGGTGCTCTGGAGTCTCCCCTCTGTCCTCTCCCACATCACAGGCACAGACACTTGGCAGCACAAAGCTGTGCAAAGAGTGGAGGAGAGACCGAACAGCGCAGAGTGTGAGCACGTTGGGGCAGGATAGGACCGAGTAGCTGATTCCCCTTTCTTGTGACCTATCTACTGAGTCAGTAGTACCCCAAACCCTCAGATCGTGCTCCATTGCCATTGTCTGCTTTTCTTGGGACCTTCTAAACTCAAAATTGAAAATGGAATAAAAGGTATTAGAGTGTGAATCGTTCCTGACACCTGCTTATACACTCATATGGCCTCCACCATCCCAGCCCGCTTGCTGCCTCCTCTCAGCATCAGAGTTTTTCTCAGTTGCTTCTCCTATATTGAATATCACTATGCAAACAGAGTCAGGGATAGCGAGGCCTGGGGAGGATGATCCCAGCTGAAAGAGGCAAAGAGTTCCCCTGGGGCAGGAGCGTGCCAGCATGATGCTGTTGAGATGTGTTATCCTGCATGGGAGGCATCTTGTCCCAGCTGCTGGAGATGGCACAGCCTTAGCAGCCAGTGTGGGGCAGGGTGAGGGTACCAGAACTGCTTGCAGCCACCTTCCCTACATCTTTGCAGCCCTCACTGAGCCCTGTGGAACACAAGCTGGGATTAAAAATTGCCCAGACAAGAAATCGCAAGAGGTTTAGGAGCGTTGGGATTTTTTTAAGGAATGTGGAGAAGGTCAGGTGGTGTGGTGGAGGGTCCTTCGAGGCTGGGAGCAGAGGAGGTGCCATGATATGGACATGAATAGCGATTTTTTTGTGAATCTCAGCATATCTTGGATTTTGTTCCCCCTCTGCACATATTCCCAACACCACGTTCCAAGTATGGAGCAGGCAGAGCCCCTGGCTGCAGTCAAAAGGTGCAGGATACACAGGCACCTATGGATCAGGCATTGGTTCTAGGGATATAGCTCTGGTGGACAGATTAATGTTGGGCCAAGTGTGACACCGAATGGCATCCGTGCCTCCACAGCAATGCACAGTCTGGACCTGGAAGAGGTGCTGTCTCTCTCTTTTCTTCCTGCACAGGCTGGCACTGTCGGAGAGGGGGATGCCGGAGGGCTGGAACGCCTCCTCCGACAGCCTGGAGGTGCGAGCTGCAGGGATCATCGTGCCAGTGATCTTCTCCCTCATCTTCCTTCTGGGCACTGTGGGGAATGGCCTGGTGCTGGCCGTGCTGCTGCGCAACAGCCAAGTGAAGTACAACACCACCAACCTCTTCATCCTTAACTTGGCCATGGCCGACCTGTGCTTCATCATCTGCTGTGTCCCCTTCCAGGCCACTATTTACACACTGGATGGGTGGCTTTTTGGGCCCTTTGCCTGCAAGACTGTACATTTCCTTATCTACCTCACCATGTATGCCAGCAGCTTCACCTTGGCCTCAGTCTCCGTTGACAGGTAAGTGTTCCCTCACCTTTGAGTCTGCTAGCTCAAGGACAAAGTGTTTGTCTCTCCTGACTAAGGGGTAAGAGAAAGACCAGTCCTTACCCCACCCAGTGCCCTCTAAGAAGCAGACAGCCTCCTCAGAAGCAGGCCCTGTGGAATTAGTCTTCATCTTTTACTCCCCATCTCCCCATGCCCTCTCTCAGCATCTAGTGAAGCTCCCATTCTGGTTAGCCAGTCCCTTCCCTTCCTCACTTTAACAGGAGGAGTGGAGGCACACACTTGGCCTGGGTGTCTGCCAGGTAGAGCCAGGAGCACCAGCAGCCCAAGGCAGCAGTCTGCCAGAGGAGAGATGAGGCACAGCCTGGGGCCATCTGGGGCCTTTTCTTCCCTGATTCAGGAGGCTTGCTGCTTGCAGCAGAGAGGGCAAGCCTGCCCCCGGCAGTGGGGTAACACTGATCACCACATGCATTCAACATAATCCTCCCTTCTAAGCAGTGGAGAAGCAGGAGGGATGGGTGGCTGTGTGGTAAGGTATGCGCAGAAGGCAGGGAGTCGGGGATGTAACTTACCTATCCGTTTTGCTTGATCTCTCCTTCTCCCCCCCCACTAGGTACCTGGCTATTCGCTATCCGCTGAAATCCCGGGATCTCCGCACCTCCCGAAATGCGGGAGTGGCCATTATAGTGATCTGGTCCCTGTCGCTGCTCTTCGCAGGGCCTTACCTCAGTTACTACCACATTGTCCATTACCACGGGATGCCCATCTGCGTCCCCATTTGGGAGGACCAGCGCCGAAAGATTTTGGATATCCTCACGTTTGTCTTCGGGTACCTCCTGCCTGTCATTGTGGTGAGCCTGGCATATGCCCGGACCATCAAGTTCCTGTGGACATCTGTAGACCCCCTTGAGAGGATCTCGGAGGCCCGGAAGGCTAAGCGTAAGGTCACCAAGATGATCGTGGCCGTTGCCATTTTGTTTTGCCTCTGCTGGCTGCCCCACCACTTGGTCATCCTGTGCTTCTGGTTTGGTCACTTTCCCTTCAACCGAGCCACTTACGCCTGTCGCCTGGCTTCCCACTGCTTGTCATATGCCAATTCTTGTCTCAATCCGATCGTCTATGCTCTCATTTCCAAGCACTTCCGCAAGCGTTTCAAGCAGGTCTTCACCTGCCTCTTCTTTCAGAACAAGAACAGAAAGAAGAAGAAGAGAGTTGGAAATAAAGTCCATGTGGTCAATGTGGGCAATGGTTTCACTGACAGTGCCAGAGGTTTCTATAGAGGCAATGCTGAGGTGACCCAAACTGCAGGGAGGAGTACCAGGTTCTGCCCTGGTCATCTGAAGGGAGACCCTGAAGGTACCAGTAGTGCCAGCACATGGACTCACCAGCTACAAGATGCTATGGTTTCTGTTCAGAAAGGAGTGCTGGAGGAGGGAGGTTTGCCAACAGCTGACCAGTCGCTGTCTGTGACCCCTCCAGGGAGAATTCCAGAGTTTGTGACTGTTCACTGCAGATGAACAAAGTGAAGAAAACTTTTATCCACCATGTGAGTAACTGCTCCATTCTCAAATAGGTAATGTGGGACAGTAGGGAATGGACACAGCAAAGCCACTAAAAGCTCACGAGGCTGTGGTTAACATGTTGTCCCTGCTGACTTGCCTACATCATTTATCTAGCACTGATGCAATTCACCCATACAATGCAAAACAGAGGCACCTATTAATGTGACACCAAGTGTTCTAGGTAGTTTTGCCAACAAATTTTAAGGCCTCCACTTCCCAGCTTCCTAACTTGCTAATTTTGTTGTAGTAGCTTCAAACTCCAGAAGGGAAGCAACCAACATGAAAACATCCTGGTAGGAAATCCAGGCTATGGAAGACAATTCAGAGCAGAGGTAGGAAGGGTGGGAAGAGCGCACGTGGACATGTGTGTGAATACGATAGCTGCCAGTCTCTCTTCCTGCCAGGACTGGAGTGCTATGCCCAAGCCCAAGCAGTGAAACACCATCCCCTGCCCCTGTGCGTTTCTTCTTCCATGATCCATGGGCAGGTCTAACCCATCTTCCCACCTTCCCTAGGCACTGAATCTGCATGACTGCCATTTGTCTCAATAGCTTTATTATACTGACTCTGCTGCAGTCACGAGTCATATTCAAATGATTTATGTCACAGCAGGTGAAGAATGGAACAGCTTGTGCGCTCTCACCTCTGGGTGCCTCCCCCAAGATGTGTGGATGCTGAAATTCAAGGGGGAAAGGATCATCAGTCTCTTCCATCTACCCTGCCCAAGCAGGAGGCATCTCCTAGAGCTCCATTCCACCTTGCTTTAACTCTTGCCGGCACATCCTGCTGGAGACTGCCCAACTTCCTAGCGCCTCTTACTCTGCAGAATTATTCCCTGATAATCAACCTTGACTCTTAAATAAACCCAGTAACTCCTCCACTATGCTGTTCCATCTAGCTCATCACCCTTTGGTCTCAGCAAGCTACATAGAGCACCATCCCTTCCTTCTGTCCCCAGCAATCTTTTCGCTGGCCCTTCTCTGGATCACACTGGTTTACTGCTACCTGTTTTTCACATCTCTCAAAGCGCTCCAGGATGAGCAGGAATTTCCTTTCTGTACAGCCAGCCATGGCAGTTTCTCTTGTTGCCAGTGGAGTGGCACCTGTCACAGGGCTAAAGGGCTTGCTGTTTTCTGAGTGGTGATGTTATCTGGTGGTGTTAGCCCCATGTTTTTGGATTACGGACTTGGCCAGATTTTTTCTTCTAGGTAATGAAAATTGTAATTGAATTGAGGGTTGCCACCAAGAAAAATAAAGTACCCAGCAACACTCAGCTCTGAAATGAGCTAGGCAGCCAGATGAGAGTTGCAGTGTAACAAGGGAGAAGGTGTGAGATGGTCCTGAATCACACCCATGGAGAAGAAATAGCCTCATTACACCCATGTACACACAGTTTAATCTTACCTCCTCAGTGTCCCTTTTTACCTAACAGAGAGGGTTTCCAGGAGAGTGTAAGGCCAACACCATGCGGAGGGCTGGGATATCTTCTCAAACAGCCACTTTTCTGGGGTCACCACAAGACCAGTGTCCACCTGGAGGGACTGCACCCTTCAGGCATGGCCAAACTTCCCCTTGTTCTGGCCACTGTCACCTTCCCTCCCACCATGCCCGGAGCAGCTGAGGAGGAGACAGCTGAGGAAGAGGTGTGACGGCAGCCGAACGACAACCCCACACCAGGGCCAAGCGTCTCCCCTGCATCTCCACTGTGGGAAGGACGGGAAGAGCTGCAGGGGCAGGGGGAACAAGAGATCATATTCATTGGGAGGTGCTGGAATTTCTCCCCTGCTTGATCTGAATAAACACTTGTACTTTCCTCTGCCTGTTGCATTTGCTGTGTCCTGGCTGCACACACTGCCTGGTATGCAGCTCTCCGATTTGGGCTGGAGCCAATGGAGGCCGCGTGAGCTGTCTGACCAGTCTGATGCTCCCGAGTCACTAGCAATATATCATTTGCTTTATTCAACTTTGTAGACACTGCAGAAGGGAATGGAACAAACAAACCTGCGAGCTTGAAGAGGGATCCTAGAGCAGCACTTGTGTTCAATATATAGTTATTAGAGATGGAGAGACACATAGCAGAGAGAGAAAAAAGGAGGGATGGTGAGAGAACAGATGTGAGGGGGGCAATATACATAATAAATGTATCAGCTGTTCAATAAGGGGGTTAGAAGGTTTTCTGTCATAAGGACAGAAAATAGTGGTGAGAAAAGGCAAGGTAAAGTGAGGGGAAAGAAGCAGAGAGCAGAAAAGAGGGTCTCACTCAGGCGGGGAGCACCCACATTTTGGTAGGTGCCTTCTTCCCCACACAGGTGCCCAGAGGTATCACACTGCTCCAGAGCTGGGTGAGCATCATTCACCCTCATGCAGCCCCAGCTGCATGGCAGCTCTCACCAGCATTTCTCTGCATCCTTGGCTTGCTGAGAAGCCCAGAAAAAAAAATCCTTCAACAGGGGCCTTTGATCAGCCTAGGAATAAAGGCAGCAAGCTGCGCAGCAAGTGCCCCCCTCTCCAAACAGCTCCCTGCCCCGGGGCTGTGTCACGAGGGGAGGGTGCACCGAGCTGGCGGCACTTGCATCACTGCAGTAGCTTTGCTTCCCCAGCTGGCAGTGCAGCTCCATCAGCTCTGCAAACCAGCTCCTCCTGCGCACAGGGAGGCTGCCGAGGAGCCCACGGGGACGCTGTGGGAAGAGGAGAGTGCTGCAGCCAACAGAAGGGAAAATGCTCCCAGGGAAAAGGGAACTGCCAAAGGGGCAACGAAGCAAGGACAGAGGGGAACAGCTGTTCCCTTCTCTCCAGGTCAGCCCAGGCAACCAGGAGGCAGACGGGATACCGCTATTGCACACACTTGCAGGCAAGGCAGGAGATGAGTGTCATGGGAGGATAAAATCCCCATTCCCCATTTCTCTCCTCCTCACCCCAAACAAGACACTGCTGGCAGAACTTGCAGATAGAGGAAGATGCATCGCATGTTTCAGGCTAGATATAGCTGTGACATGAGTGGAATGGGGAAGGGGACTGAGCAGGGGCACTCTGCTTTCCCAGGATGTAGAGTGCATGTGCTGCGGGGATCCTACTGCTTGCTTTATGGCTGAATTAAAACAGCCAGGGAGCTAAATTAACACTGTGAGGCACACCAGCCAGGAGATAGCAGTGCCAACACCAGCAACTCTGCAAAGGATGCTGCAGCCAGAGGTGCAGCCGGCAGGTTAACCCCTCCAAAACGCAGGCTCTCACTGTACATAATTTGCTGGCAGCCTGCTGATTGCCACGAGCTCATTGCCAATGCGAGCCTGTGGCAAATCCAGAATCACCAGAGGCAACGCAGCCCCGACTGGTGGTGTCCTGAGCCCGGCCTAGCTCCGAGAACCACCGGTGCCCTCACTTTCCCTGGCACACAGTGGAACCTCAGAGAGGCAGCCAGCAGCTGCGGCCAAAAAATAGAGTTTTTGGCACCTCGGGGAGGGAACTGAAGCTGTCTCTGTGGCTCCTGGCCCTGCCCCAGCTCCCTACTATGATGCTCCTGTCCTGCCTGTCATTGTTGGAAATTCCCTATTCTTGTCCTTCAAGACTTGTGGGCCATAGTAGCAGCTGCTGCCTTATGCCCCCAGCCCTGGCCTTGCTGAGCCAAAGGAATCTCCCTGAGGTGCTTTTCCTCTCTTGGGTGTTTCTGGCTGACCTGCCCCATCCCTAATAGTGGAGGATGCCGTTTGCTGGCTGGTCCTTAGCAATTGTGACCATCTGCAGATCCTTCCCGGAAGGGAAGGAGATTTAATGACCTGCCACAGCTGTCTCAGCCCAGAGATCCACCATCAAGCTGCAAACGGGGTTGTGGGCTCTGTGTGGCTTGGGTGAGAGCAAGGGGAGCCACAGGGCTTAGAGAGCTCTGGTGCATGTTAGCTGCCCTGAGCAATGTCACAGACCCACTCCCCAGCCCGCCAACCCCCTTGTTTCTTTTTTCTTCCCATCCCCTCCCTCTGCTTGTGTAAATATTCCCTTACTGCTTTGGCCTTCCTGCTTTTAAAGTTCCCAAGTGACGTGGTATTTCTAAAACCCGCTGAAGCTGTTGCACAGCCCACTAGAGCTCAGCAGCAAGGACACCTCTCTCCCTGCATTGAGCTCGGCGGAATGACTTTTTTTTCCACTTGAGTGTTTGATGTAGCTCCCTGCACCTGTAGCCTCCTTTGCCTTCTATTCCTCTTTCTGATTTCTCTGATTCCTTTGATAGACTAGCCCCTTCCTCCATGGTCCCTGCAGCTCCTCTGAAACTGGTCCCCTCTAGAAACACTGCCAGTGTGCTCTGCCCCTCTTCTCCAGGATTTAGGAGCCTGCAGCTCACTGCAGGCACCCTTTGCTCCTCACTCTGTGGTTGAGGCCAGCCCAATTAATCATGAGTGTCCTCGAGTTAAGGTGATGAACTCAATAGCTTCTCTAGGTGAGGCCCCATTTCAGCACTCAAACCATCAGGGGTAAAAGGGACTGCAGTGGAGCAGTGACGTGGCTTGGCCTGATGCAGCCTGTTCTTGCCCGTACAAGGCTGAGCTGTTTCTCAGCCCCAATCCTGTTCCTCCCTGGCTGAACCTCTAGCACGGGCACACTGGGTTTGTGGGACAGAGCGGAGCTGAGCCAACAGTCAGCTTGGGAGTGACAGCTTCATGGCCAGGCTAACACAAACCAGGGCACAGGGCAGGGAGAAAACTTGTGATGGAAGCTGGATTTAGCAGCTCCTCTCCCTTGGTTCTGCCTGGTTCTAAAAGCCCCTATTTTGGGGAGCATATAAACAGGAAGGGCAGATGCTGCACCTGGCCTAGGGGTGCAGGTGGCCACAGAGCTGGGTGGACCCAGGAGTCTATCTGTCCAGTAAGACAGTACAAGCTCCAACTGGCTTAAAAGCTCAAATGTAGAAGCAAAGAAAAGATGTCATGTCCTTGATATGGATCTGACTTTAATTAAAGCTG